ATATATATATATATATATATATATACATTTTTTATTTTTATTTTTTTTAAATGACTAAAATGTAACTTTTAAAATATAACTTTTCTTTGATGAAAAGTTAAAAGAACAGCATTTAATTAAAACATAAATATTTTGTAATATTATAAATGTCTTTACTATCACTTTGGTCAATTTAATATGTCCCTGCTATAAAGTATTACTTTTTTAAAATATCTTACCCCAAACATTTAAATGGTAATGTATCACGGTTTCCACAAAAATATTAAGCACCAGTTTTCAACATTGATAATAATAGGAAATCTTTGTTATTAGACTTTTTAATAAGAGAGACTTTTGACCAAACTTTTGACTGGTGGTGTATTTATCTAAGGCATGTTAATGATAATAGTGTAAACATTGTTTTTGTATTTGACCGTGTAATTCTTAATCAAAGAACTCAGCTCTCCTAGTGAAATACGGGCTTTTTTGGGTCCGTATGCTTAAACCTGCCCTTTTCATATAATTGACTGCAAGCTTGATTCAGATGTCCAATCAATTCAATGCCCAAGCTTTAATACTTAATTATTACCTGAGGCCAGCAAATTGTCCTAATAGTTTACCAAGGGACATAAAGGTAGTGGCTGTGACTGTCACCATGCCTCTGATTTTTTTCGGTGAACTCTCACCAAGGTAGATGGTATGTACATTCAAACCCAACCCTTTGAACAAAGAGCAAATCACATCATATATATATATATATGTATATATATATATATAATCACAACTTTTATATATAATTTATTTACAGTCTAATGCACATACCTGCTCCGAATCCAAATAGGAAGCGTGCTACAAGTATCAACTCAAAGGAGTGTGTAGGTTTGCTAATGTACATGATTACTGTGGCCACAACTGCTATAGCACTATTCAACAGCATGGCTCCTTTTCTGCAAGAAGTACTTATACAGTAAATGAACATCCATTTTTGTTGTGAAAACATTAAAAGGAAGAATAGGGAAAGCAGATGAGGATGGGTGAGATTAACCTTCCCAGGTGACTGGTAAAGTATCTGACAGTAATGGAGCCAATGAGACCTCCAAAAGCGTACAGAGCCACCACAGTAGACCAGATAAAGGTGACAGTCTTCTCTCCTGGAACATCCCCGTAGTGATACGTCCAGCTGCTGTTAATAAAGCTCTGAATGTACTGTGGGAAAACAGATTGGAGACTAATCATCATGGATTGATTCATACCTAGATTTTAAGTATGATACTGAACTGATACTTAAATGGCCTTCTGGTAACACTTTATTTTACAGTGTCCTTGTTACATATGTTACATGTACTTACTATAGTAATAGTAACAGTAAATTTTGCATAATTACAATTAACTAAAAAAAACCTAACTCTACAGTAAGTACACTCTTAATAATAAAGGTTCTTTATTAGCTTCTATGATTCCAAGAACATTTAACATCCACTGAACCTTTTGATTGCACAAAAGGTTATTTATAGTGGAAAAACGTTTCTTTAGATTACTGAAATATTCTTCACACTTGAACAAAAAAAAGGTTCTTTCAAGGTTCTTTGGGAAACCACAAATGTGCCTCTATGGCATAGCTGCGAAAACCCTTTTAAGAGTGTTACTCAGTACATGTATGTACAATTACACTATAGCAAGGACACCTTAAAATAACATACCCTGCTTTCTTAATATAATAACAGGAAAAGAATAAATACAAATTCAAGTGCGCACTGGAGATGGAGAGCTTATTGCTGAGAGATGAAATCCATTTTGAAAAGATCCTCCCACTCCCAGCACAACGATAAAGATAAGTGCTTTCCCACCAACCTGAAATTACAGTCACACTGTTCTTTTACTACATATTTAACATTTCAAGTCAATATACTTTTGATATTTCACATTAAACTATAAAACCAGCACAGAGGGGGTTTCTCTTGCTCTAGAATGACACAGAGCCGTAGCCTATTTTAAGTGAATGAGTAAACTTTGGTTAAGAGTTTAATTCTGCGCTTGGTTAAAAGATATAAAGAAAATAAATGGGTTATTTTACAGAGACATATTATCCAGCAATATACTTAGCTTTACCATTATGGCTATTTTGTTGAAATATAACGAGACAACAATTCTTTAATTCTTCTATAATAATTCAGATTTCATCTCATTTTAAAGATCTGTCAATGTATTTAAATAACATGTTCCTACCAGTTCCTGCAACACGCTCTTCATGCTTTCCTTCTTGTGTCCATGGAGCACCACTGCTTCTCTCCAATAAATACAGTGTCATCTCTGTTAGGCATTTTGATTAATTTTTGACACCGGAATGACTCGTCACATTTTGTCTCCTAAAAGCTTGCTATCTATTTATGTATTTATCTGCATTTGTCCAGATTAAAAAAAAAATGTTTTATTTTAAATGTTTTTGATGCTATCATTTTGTGTAAATACATTTGATAAAAAGACATTTTAATTGAATAAAAAATACCTGATTAAAATAATATAAATTTGATGTAAGTAGCCTAAATTAATATAGACAGAAAGAAACAAATAAATAAAAAACGTACTGTATTGAAAAAAATAAGTAGCCTACTGTATTGAATAGATAAAAATGTAATAAAGTGATTTTCCTAGTATTAATTTTTCACAGTTTAAACTGGGTCTTTCAAGAATATAGGCTATATTGTGTATATATA